GGATCCTCTCCAAGATACGATACTACATGCCGCAAAATGCCCTTCTCACACTATACCATTCACTCATTTATCCATACCTCACCTATGCTATTTGTGCTTGGGGATCAACTGCAGCAATACACCTAAAGCCAATAATAACTCAACAAAAAGCTGCAATAAGAATAATCATTAATTCCCATCCCTGGCAACACCCCCCCCCTCTTCATAGGTCTAAACTTGCTCCCTGTTCAGAACATCCACACTTACTACTGTGCAATCTACATATACAGGACCTTAAATTCCAATATTAACCTTGACCTAAAATGTTTTCTTGATAGTTGTGACAGGACCCACAGGCATAACACCAGACACAAACATCTCTACGACATTCCCCGTGTCCGATTAAACCTTCACAAAAACTCAATGTATGTCAAAGGCCCTAAAATCTGGAACACTCTACCTGAAAACTCTAGAACAGCAAACACATTCATCACCTTCAAAACTACTGTTAGAAAACATCTTATCTCCCTGATACACCCCATCAACTAACTACATAAAAACCACCTGGTGGTCCACATTTACACTCACTCACCCATTTGACTATAAGCACAGAAATACGTATCCTAATCTTAAAATAATGATTCCAAACTAGTCATAAGTTTGCCTGTGATACTCCAATATAGAAACTATGTATTGTGCCAAAACAAAAGCATTTACATTGTTAAACTCACAAACTAGTATTTGTCACTTAGTATTTAGTCAACTTACTCCACAATTTGTTATAGTTTAGGGTTAAAAATTTATCTAAGTTTGCCCGAAATGCCTAGCCATGCTAAGTGTTCTAGTGGCCCCTCTGTAGTTATTATTTTACTACATGTAAACCTCACAATAACCAAAATCTGTAAACCCTGCATTGTAATCCTTATAGAGAATAAACTTTAGGATTAATTATGATTCTGTGGTAAATGATAGAAACACTATTGGAAAACACTCCGGGTGTAGCAGAAAGTGCAGGAGTAAGCAGGCATGGAAGGGAGTAGAGCAGGCATGCAGAGAGTGTAACAGGCATGCAAGGAGTGTAGCAGGCATGCAGGGAGTGTAGCAGGCATGCAGGGAGTGTAACAGGCAAGCAAGTAGTGTAACAGGCATGAAGGGAGTGTAGCAGTCATGCAGGGAGTGTAGCAGTCATGCAGGGAGTGTAGCAGTCATGCAGGAGTGTAGCAGTCATGCAGGGAGTGTAGCAGTCATGCAGGGAGTGTAGCAGTCATGCAGGGAGTGTAGCAGTCATGCAGGGAGTGTAGCAGTCATGCAGGGAGTGTAGCAGTCATGCAGGGAGTGTAGCAGGTCATCAGGAGTGTAGAGAAAGGGGTACATGCAGGGAGTGTAGCAGTCATGCAGGGAGTGTAGCAGTCATGCAGGGAGTGTAGCAGTCATGCAGGAGTGTAGCAGTCATGCAGGGAGTGTAGCAGTCATGCAGGGAGTGTAGCAGTCATGCAGGGAGTGTAGCAGTCATGCAGGGAGTGTACAGTCTGCAGGGTGTAGCATATGCAGGGAGTGTAGCAGTCATGCAGGGAGTGTAGCAGTCATGCAGGAAGTGTAGCAGTCATGCAGGAAGTGTAGCAGTCATGCAGGGAGTGTAGCAGTCATGCAGGGAGTGTAGCAGTCATGCAGGGAGTGTAGGAAGGATAAATCCAGTTTCATGAATCAAGAGCCCCTTACCATTATCAAGGCAAATTTTGTGTTGAAACTGCATACTGAATTTTATTAAGTTTCTAGATGTAGACTCAGGAATTTACTGCCATTCTTTTTTCTACGAGTGTTTCTGTATGTAATTTATTGGAAATAAGCCATTTTGTCTGACTTTACTGGGTTATCCTAGGTAATTTACACTATCATAATTGTACTTATGTGTACCTGTACCTATATAAAATTACTAATTATAGCAGGTGCATAAAATCATTACTGCAATATTTTTTTTGTCTGGCCGGCTGGCAGTAAGGACCCCAATGTCACTTTGACTTTATTGGGTTATCCTAGGTAACTAACATATACATGTACATGTATGTTACTAAGTAAAGCAGTTATAATCATCTAAAATTGTGCAATTACACTTATATAAACATATCTGTTGTTGTTCTTGGGGTTAATTATGGCCATCAAAGCAGCCTCACCACCCAGGAGTCTGGGTAAAAAATATTGTCCAAATCTGGTAAAAAAATGAGAAAGGAAACAAAGATTCCTCTGGAACAAGAGACAGGAAACATGAAATTACAAATTTAGATCAGTTGAAGCTCAGGTGTCAACCTGGGCAGTCTGGAGTCTGAAATCTGAAATACGAAGGGAGGCACTAGTCAATGAAATTGACTAGTGAAGGAATCCTACAGGAGACAAGAATCACAAGAAGAACTAAAAGCCATAAAGGAAACTGAAAGAAAAAAAAATACTTCTTCTCTTATGCCAAATCTAAGGAAAAAACAACATCCAGTATTGGGCCCCTGCTTAGGCGGGACGGGACATACACAGATGACAGCCAAGAAATGAGTGAGATACTAAAGTCCCAATATGACTCGGTGTTCAGCGAGCCACTGCCCAGACTAAGGGTCGATAATCCAAATGAATTATTTATCTGGTCATCTCAAAAATCTCGGTTATTATCCTAACTCCACAAGACTTTGAAGAGGCAATAAATGACAGGCCCATGCACTGTGCCCCAGGCCCAGACTCATGGAACTCTGTGTTCATCAAGAATTGCAAGAAGCCCCTATCACTTGCCTTCAGCATTTTATGGAGAGGGAGCGTGGACACGGGTCATCCCACACACACTAAAAACAACAGACATAGCCCCATTCCACAACGGTGGCAGTAGAGCAACTGCAAACAACTACAGACCGAAAGCGTTAACATACCATATCATAAAAATCTTTGAGAGGGTTCTAAGAAGCAAGATAGCCGACCACCTAGATATCCATCAATTACACAACCCAGGGCAACACAGGTTTAGAGCAGGTTGTTCCTGCCTGTTCCAGCAAAAGCTTTCAATCAAATGTGACCATGGTGTAATAGCACACAAAATGCGTGATAAAGGAATAACAGGAAAAGCTGGAAGATGGATCTATAACTTCCTGACAAATAGAACACAAAGAGTAATAGTAAACAGAATAAACTCTGAGGTAGCCATGGTAAAAAGCTCTGTTCCACAAGGCACAGTACTCGCTCCCATTCTATTCCTCATCCTCATTTCTGACATAGACAGAGATGTAAGCCATAGCTCCGTGTCTTCCTTTGCGGATGACACCCGGATTACCATGGCAGTAACCTCCATCGAAGACACCGAAGACTTTAAGCAGACATCAACCAAATCTTTGAATGGGCCGCTCAAAACAATATGAAGTTCAACGAGGAGAAATTTCAACTACTAAGATATGGGAAACTTGAGGAATTAAAAATGTATCAAGGTATACGACAAATTCTAACCATACAATAGAGCGGAAAAGTAATATGAATGACCTGGGAGTGATAATGTCAGAGAATCTTGCCTTCAAAGACCACAACAATGTATCTACCTCATCTGCTAGGAAAATGATAGGATGGATAATGAGAACCTTCAAAACTAGGGATGCCAAGCCAATGATGATTCTTTTCAAATCGCTTGTGCTCTCTAGGCTGGAATACTGTTGTACACTAACGGCCCCCTTCAAGGCTGGCGACATTGCAGACCTGGAGAGTGTACAAAGAACTTTCACGGCACACATAAGTGTGATAAGGCACCTAAACTACTGGGAATGGTTGAATGTCCTTGATCTGTATTCCCTCAAACACAGGCGAGAGAGATACATGATAATATACACTTGGAAGGTCCTGGAGGGATTGGTACCAAACCTCCACACGAAAATCACTCCATATGAAAGCAAAAGACTCAGCAGGAGATGCAACATTCCCCCGTTGAAAAGCAGGGGCTCCACGAGTACACTGAGAGACAACACAATAAGTGTTCAGGGCCCAAGACTGTTCAGTTGCCTCCCAGCACACATAAGGGGGATTACCAGTAGACCCCTGGCTGTCTTCAAGAAGGCACTGGACAGACACCTAAAGTCAGTACCTGACCAACCGGGTTGTGGTTCGTACGTCAGCTTGCGTGCGGCCAGCAGTAACAGCCTGGTTGATCAGACCCTGATCCACCATGAAGCCTGGTCTCAGACCGGGCTGCGGGGGCGTTGACCCCCGAAACCCTCTCCAGGTAAACTAGAGGCTAAGTCCTTAAAGATTAAAAAAGATTAAAGATTTTATTTCTCTGCAAAGGTTACAATGTGTAATTACAATTTTGATTTGTTAAGTACAAAAGAAAACTACTAACATGGTGGGTTATCCTATGTAATTTACACTTGTTACAACATAAGACAACTATAATTTATTACAGTTACACAAGTTTTAAGCAATAAAAATTTTTGTAATTGAAAACATTTGTAAATGTACCTAAATAAACTTAATCCACCAAAGGAAATGAGTCACTGTGTTGTTGTTGTTGTTGTTTGTTGGGTTTATGAGGGCCACTGACAGCTTACACTGTGTCCAGGCAGACTTCTTGATGGTACCAGGAAAATTGTTGCCCAAGGCTGGACGATGACAGAAAAGGAACAAAAGTTCCTTTGTAAATAAAGATAGAAACTTGAAGTTTCCAATTAAATCGGGTGGACGCCCTTGCCAACCTCCAGCAGAGAGGGACGCCTAGACTCCCACCTGAGTTCAGTAACCGGCTCCCCACCAACGACCGTTAAAGAATTTTCCGCAAAGCGAAAAAAATGGAGGTGGCTACAGCAAGCCGATGTACAGGTGCCCCTCCTGTAGAGTGCCAGGCGGGCAAAATAGATAAGGACAAGCGTCCCAGAGAGAACGGTGGAAATTTGTCACTAATACACAGGCGAGAGAGAGACGTCCACACCTGACGAAGGCTGACGCAGAAGCCCGGCTGTCCTGGGTAATTTACACATGTGTTAAACTATGTGTTATAATTATTTACTTACTAACTCCGGCTGCTTCTTCTTCTTGAAGCTTATAGTGTCACAGACACGTTACACAGTATCGAGTTCGGCTTCCCGGTGTCCCAGGAACAAACCTCCAGCAAATTGCGAGGAACGTACCCTACTGAAGTCTCCCTTATTATCAACACACTAAAAAACAAGACAGGAGATTTAAATACCTTACCACCCTTTATATACAAAAAAGCGTCACAAGTACTATCACCAATCATTGCAACACTCTTTAACAAATCCATAGAATCCTCTTCCTTCCCTACAGTTCTCAAAATAGCAAGGGTCACCCCGATCCATAAAAGAGGAGACCAAACAGACTTGAATAACTATAGACCAATATCCAACTTACACCCTCTCTCTAAAATCTTCGAATCTATTCCTACCTCATCTCCCGCAACATACTCAACCCCTGTCAGTTTGGGTTCAGGCCTAATAAAAACACTAATGATGCTATTATACACATGCTAGAACAAATATACACTGCACTAGAGAAAAAAGAAGTCCCATTGGAGATCTACATTGATTTACGTAAAGCTTTTGATACAGTTGACCATGATTTGCTCCACATAAAATTGTCGCACTATGGTATAAGAGGGCACTCCCTCAACTACCTAAGTCATACCTCAGCAACAGAAGCCAATACGTGTACACAAATGGAGCAAACTCTTCCACACAGCCAATTACAGTTGGTGTCCCACAGGGTAGTGTCCTAGGCCCTCTTCTCTTTCTCATATACATAAATGACCTACCAAATGCATCACAACTACTCAAACCCACACTATTTGCAGATGACACTACATACGTCTTCTCTCACCCGAGCCCAATCATACTAGCCAATACTGTAAATACCGAATTACAGAAAATATCTACCTGGATGATGATCAACAAACTTACTCTCAATATTGACAAAACCTACTTCATTCAGTTTGGTAACAGAGCTACAGACGTCCCATTAACATAATGATAACGGATCACCTATCACAAAACTCACAGAGGGAAAATTCTATGGAATCCACCTTGATAATAGACTCAAATTTCAAACACATATACAACAAATTTCCAAAAAAAAATTCCAAGACCGTAGGCATACTATCAACTATGATATAATTAATATTCTACTGTACAGCTATGACATAATTCTTAGTGTTAAGTAGTCTGTAAATCGGCCCATAATGCCTAGGCATAATAGAGGCTCTCTTTGCATTGCAACCCATTATTGTAAATACACAATCTCAGTGTACTATTTGCAATGACGTAAATGACTAAATAAATAAAAATAAATAAATAAATCTTATCTTAACGGTTTTTGGTGGGAAGCTGGTTACTGAACTCAGGTGGGGGTCCCACTCTGCTAGGGCTTGGCAAGGTGTTCCACCCGATCTAATTGGAAACTTCAAATTTCTATTTCTAATTACAAAGGAACTTCTGTTCCTTTTCTTTCTACTAAGTCTCAGGTTGAAGATGCCTTCTTTACTTTCCGTCAGCGTCAACGTGCTCTCTTTGCGGCTCTACCACAAGATCTCTGTAACCTTCTCTCTACCATTTGACACTGCTCGCCTGAATTCACAAATTCATTCTTCTAAACTACAGAATAAACTTCAACGTCTCATCTTAGCTAGCCCTTGGTCTAAATTCTCCCTCACTGACTGTGTTACTAACTTGTCTGTCTCACTCTCTCAATATTTATTTATTTATTTATTTATTTATAATTTGAGCACACTTACAGAGGTACAAAAAAAATACAGATAAGAGCAGCATGCCAAAGCCACTTATACTATGCATAGCATTACGGGCTGGCTTAAAATTAACTTAAGATTAACTAAGCAATGATGAAATCAGTGAAAAACATTAATGTAAACTGATTACTATAAAGCACAAGTGAGTATTACAAAGACAGGTCATATGGTTGCATGCATTGTTGTAAATTCAGTAGAATGGAGTATTCTGTTAGGTAGTGAATTTAAAAAATAATAAAGTTAGATTGGGTTTTAGGTTTAACATTTATGTGATATAATTGTGAGAAACATTTAAGATATACAATTTATAAGGTTCAGTTATTCAGTATTTATTTGGTTTTGGGTGAGTAAGTGATCTTTGAGAAGAGACTTGAATTTATAAACAGGTAGTGTTTCTTTTATATTAACAGGTAATGAATTCCAGATTTTAGGGCCTTTTATGTGCATTGAGTTTTTGCATAGCGTGAGATGGACACGAGGAATATCAAAGAGTGATCTGTGCCTTGTGTTATGGTCATGTGAGCTTGAACTTCTTGGTTTTGGTCTTTCCTTTGCCACTTCACCTGCCCCTCGCGCTGGTATTGCCCTGATTAGTTCTTTTGATTCTTTTCGTCTGTCTCGCTCCCGTAATCTTCCCGACTTGTCCACTTTTCGTGGCGCTCTCATTCCTGCTCTTGTTAGTCTGTTTTCTAAGAATCACCACCTTCCGCGCCGTTACCAACTTGCACTTTCTTCTCTTAAATTTAACACTAACATTGTCATACTATCTTCTGACTAGGAATTTTTATTGACCTAAGAAAAGCTTTTGACACAGTAGACCACGGCATCCTACTCCACAAACTTGACCATTACGGTATAAGAGGCCATGCGCTTGCTTATTTCAAATCTTACCTTACTAATAGGTATCAGTATGTCTCCATTAAAGACACAGCATCAACAACACGGCCACTTGATACTGGAGTTCCGCAGGGAAGTGTCCTTGGTCCCCTGCTCTTTCTCATGTACATCAATGATCTTCCAATCGTATCCCAACACCTGAAACCCATTCTCTTTGCTGACGACACGACTTACGTCATCTCTCACCCTAATCTTGCCACCCTCAACACCATTGTTAACGAGGAGCTGATCAAAATATCGACTTGGATGACAGCCAATAAACTTACGCTTAACACTGACAAAACCTACTATATATTATGTTTGGTAGCAGAGCAGGAGATGCACAAATTAACATTAAGATCGACAACACTCTAATTACCAGACATAATGAGGGCAAATTCCTAGGCCTATACCTTGACAACAACCTGAATTTCAGCACCCATATCCAACACATAACCAAAAAAGTATTCAAAACGGTTGGGATCCTCTCCAAGATACGATACTACGTGCCACAAAATGCCCTTCTCACACTATATCACTCACTTATTTATCCATACCTCACCTATGCTATTTGTGCTTGGGGATCAACTGCAGCAACACACCTAAAGCCAATAATAACCCAACAAAAAGCCGCAGTAAGAATAATCATTAATTCCCATCCATGGCAACACCCCCCCCCCCACTCTTCATAGATCTAAACTTACTCCCTGTTCAGTACATCCACACTTACTACTGTGCAGTCTACATCTACAGGACCTTAAACTCCAATATCAACCTTGACCTAAAATGCTTTCTTGATAGTTGTGACAGAACCCACAGGCATAACACCAGACACAAACATCTCTATGACATTCCCCGTGTCCAACTAAACCTTGACAAAAATTCAATGTATATCAAAGGACCTAAAATCTGGAACACCCTACCTGAGAACTCTAGAACTGCAGACACATTCATCACCTTCAAAACTACCATTAGAAAACATCTTATCTCCCTGATACACCCCGTCAACTAACTGCACGAATACCACCTGGTGGTTCACACACTCACCCATTTGACCATAAACAGAAATATTAATCTCAATCTTAAAATAATGAATCCTGTGATACTCCAATACTGAAACTATGTACTGTGCCAAAACAAAAGCATTCACATTGCTAAACTCACAAACTAGTATTTAGTCACTTAGCCATAATACCAACTTACCTCATAATTTGTAATATTTTAAAATTAAGAATTAAACTAAGTCTGCCCGAGATGCCTAGCCATGCTAGGTGTTCTAGTGGTACACTCTGTAATCATTATTTTACTACATGTAAACCACACAATAACCAAATTTTGTAAACTCAGCATTGTAATCCTTATAGAGAATAAACTTCGAATTTGAATTTGAATTTGAATTTGAAAGGAAATTCGGTAGCTATCCTTGATCGCGAGGATTACCACCATAAAGCTGATGTCTTGCTCTCTGACTCACGTACCTACACTCCTCTCGTTTCCAACCCTCTTGATCACATCAAGAGAACTTTCAACAAGAAACTAAGGACTCTCTCCGACCTTTGTCCTGACTTTGACCTTGTTCAACGTTTTCGTGTCTATCTGCCCCTCTCTGCCCTATTTCTATGGTCTTCCCAAAACTCATAAACCCGATATTCCTCTACGTCCTATCACATCCTCTAGAGGTTCTGTCTCTTATTCTCTTGCTTCTTGGCTGGCCAAAATCCTCACTCCATTTCTTGGTACCTTTTCTCCTGCCCACCTCCGTCACTCTCAAGACTTCACTGAACGGGTTCGCTCTCTCCCGACCTGTAAGATGCTGAGTCTTGACGTTGAGTCCCTCTTCACCAATGTCCCTCTTGATGATGTCCTTGATTTTCTTAGAGAGAAGGCTAATGAAGGGTTTCTTCACCTCCCTATACCTACTGATGTCTTTCTTGATCTTATCCACCTCTGTGTGGACTTTAGTTCCTTTTCCTTCCAAGGGAAATATTCTCGCACCTTCGGTGTCGCTATGGGCTCTCCTCTATCTCCTGTTCTCGTTAATCTTGACATGGAATACTTCGAGACTGTTCTTCTTCCTACTATTGATGTGCAACCTTCGGTCTGGCTCCGCTATGTTGATGACATCTTTGCACTGTGACCTTATGACTAGTCTCTAACCATTTCTTGATGCTCTTAATAATCTTGCCCCTTCCATTAAGTTTAAAGATGAATGGGAATCTAATTCTTTACTTCCTTTCCTCGAGGTTCATGTCTACCGCTCAGAAACAGGCTTTGCCTTTTCTGTTTACCGCAAGCCTATGCACAGTGGCATGTACATTCACTACTTATCATGATTCCTCTGTTAAGAAAAGTGTTCTTATCTCCCTCTTTCTCCATGCCCTCCGCATTTGTGATCCTTAGTTCCTTCAATCAGAAATTTCCACTCTCCGTAATTCATTTTCCCGTCTTGGCTACCCATCCCTTTTAATAGACTCTACCCTCTCACGTGCTAAACGTAATTTCTTCTCTCCCAAACTCTCTACTCATGTGAA